GGTGAGAGGTGCTGGGGCGGGGGGGGCCCTTAGCTTCTTTCTGCCTGCTCAATTTTGACGTCATTTGTCAGCAAATGTTCTCCATGCCACTTTTTCATGTGTTTCTCCAGGGTGCTGTAAACACTGAAGGGCATCTGGCAAATGTCGCAGCGGTAGACCTCCTTCCCTATCTGGCCATGCGTTTTCATATGGCGCGTCAGCTTACTGCTCTGGGCACATGCATAGTTGCAGAGCTCGCATTTGTAAGGCCGCTCTCCAGTGTGGCTCCGACGGTGCACCGTCAAATTGCTGCAGTTCTTAAAGACCTTGCCACAGTACTCACATGTATCGCTCCTGCGCCCTTCCTTCGAACTGGGTCGCCCGGGGCCAGGACCACTGATGTGGGGGGTGCTGCCTCCACTCGCCGTGCCGCTGCGCCCTGAGAGCCCCCCATCCAGCATGTCCCCTGGCGGGGTGGAGAAACGCAGGCTCCCATTCTCTGACGAGTGCTCGGAAGAGGTCGCAAAGGGGGATTGTCGGGAGTCTGTGAATCCGAGGAACGGATCCTTCATGAAGTGCCGCGATGCTGCGTACCCTACCAGCCACTGGGAGTAAACGTTTTCAGAAGGTATTATCGTTGCTGGTGGCAAGTCCAAATCTTTCTCTACCTTTATTCTTTTAGAGGAATTGTTTAAACTGGGGCTCGTGATAGGCGTCGGCTTGCGGGGGAACAAGTTTGGGAAGGGTTCACCCGGTCCAAAGTTTCTTCCATTGACCGTCCCTTCCTCAGTGCGATCCAGCTCTCCTACCACAGAGTCTTCATCACCTGGATCTCTCTGACAAAGGTCTCGAGGACACAAGTCTCGTTGGTCAGAAGACCTTTTCATGAAGCTACTCCTCTTTTGTTTTTCCGCTAGCATGTCATTATATTGCTGGATGGCACCTAGACTTACATTCTCAATGACTTTTCCCAGGACAAGGGATTTCTCATCTGGCAGCGACTTGGAGCCATTTTCTCGGTTACGACTCAGCTCCGAGTCCATACTGAAGCTCGACTCTGGCCGGCTCTCATTTTCGAGCTCCTCTTCCTCCTCCTCCTCCTCTTCCTCTTCTTCATTGTCATGGCCCAGGGAAGGATCACTCTCGTTCCTGAAATCTGCTTCACTGGATTTCAGTCCCTCTCCAGTGAGCTCGCTTGTGCCCGGCTCAGGGGAACTAGTGGTGGACAGTCCATCGTCTGACCTGCCTGTCATGGAGCCAGCTTTATGCATATGCGTTTTCATGTGGCGTTTTAGCTTGCTGGCCTGGGAGCAAGCGTGGTCACAGAGCTGACACTTGTAGGGCTTTTCTCCTGTGTGACTACGCCGGTGCACGATAAGGTTACTCTGGAACTTGAATGTTTTCCCACAAAATTCACAGGACTTGCTCTTGGCCTGAGGCTGGGGAGGCGTAGTGCTGCTGGGGGGCATGGGGGGCAGTGGTGGGGTGCTCAAAAAAGGTGATTTAGGACTCGGCTGGAAAGGATTCAACAGGCGATGCATAGGGTTGGTGCGACTGGGTGAGACTGGCGGAGGGGTGGAACTGTTTCCTGCCAGCTCTCGAAGCCTTCTGGAGAAATCCATCGCTGGGGACTCAATTGCCATGGGGTTTAAACGCATAACTCTGTCAAAGGCACTGGGATGCTGGGCAACTAACCCCATTTCTTCGGCACTAAGGCGATGTGGATCCAGATGATGACGAGGCGGTGGGCTGAACAGTGGAGGCGTGTTTGGGAGCCGACCCTCACCAAAGCCAGGGTGTTCACGCAAGATGGGTCCTGTCATCCGCAAAAGATTGAAAGGGTTGTTGTCTCCAAGGAAATTCATCAGTGGGGACTGTGCAACAGTCTCCGGTCCCAGAGGAGGAGGGATGGTGATGCGTGGAGTAAGGGAACTGTTTGAAGGGCTTGTTTCCAGGTAGATGCGGAATCCATGTGTGTTCTGGGCATGCTGAAGCAAAAACCAAGCGCTATTAAAAGGCTGCTTGCATGTTGTGCAAATATAGCTTGAAGGCTCATCTTTACCTATAAAAGAAAAACAGAAAGAACATTCAAAAAATAATACAGCAGAGAACATTTAAATACAGTTGGCATGTGCTTTATTTTGCTAACACACTTCCTCCTTGGCATTTCTGAAAGAAGGACTTAATTGCAATGTATTGACTGATATAAATTGTTGAACAGCACATTTACTCACCACACTTATTCACTTAACATGTATGACAAATATCACACATACGCATTCGTGCTATATACGTCTATGTCGTCTAACTTGCAAATAAAACTTTCCTTTATGACGCGTAAAGATCCAAATCCTTTCATGTGTTTATTCCACAAAAAGGAATTTGTTTCAAGGGATTTATGACTACAGACAAAAAACAAGGAAAATGCAGTGTGGTAGGTTTTACAAGGCACCTGCAAGGAGCTTCAGTGTCATTTTCACTCTTTCATTTTATATTTGTATATACTTCATGAAGCAGTCCCCTGACATCTTGCTGAATTTAATTTATACATGTTTCAGTCATGCCAGCGCTTCCATTTTTAAAATACTATGTAGGTATTTAACTGCACAAGTCCTATTCAAGTCAACAGGAACTTGGAAAACGAACCCTTGCATAAACCACTTCTGACATTCTTTTTGCCAAAACACCAAGAAGCCACTCAAATGAAACATCCGGTAATCAAAGCCGACAGCACAGTTGCAATTAACAGTAACAAATGTCGGGCCGTGCTTGAACTGGGTCCCAAGAATTTCTGAGCCTGAGCCTGCCCTCCAATGCAGAAATGCTCACCAGAGCCAAAAACATTGTTCTGTTTGCCTTTCTAGCCTCTTTGAAAGACTGCATAAAGGTGGAAAGCATTCCTTTAACCTTGATTCAGCTTTATATAAAGGACAGGTGTGGACAAGTCTGCACTACAGTCGTAATTTTGCTAGCTAGAAAATTCCAGTTCCGGGCACAATATAAACTATGTGTTGTCTTCAAAAAGCACTCTCTCCCCCCCCAGCTAGGTTAAATTTCAGGGGTCTAGGTAACATTTTATTTGTACAGTTTAACTATTGCCAACTGAGAAAAGATGACCTAACTTGCCTCCGTAAACATAACTTAGCATAACTATGGTAGGTGCCAGACTTTGGCACTTAAATATAACCTGTGTCTACAAAGTTCTATTAAACCCGAGGGTTGATTAAGGCAGTAAAAATTGTGGAGCCTTTTAACTGTGCAATAATTTCTGTATTTATTGGGTTTTTGTAATTTTTTGGCATGTGCAGGTACTTTTTTTTATTCTTTCTGTTTAAATTTCTTTTAAAATTTTGTTGGGTATCCCTTTTTAATTTTACCCAGTCGTAGCCTGAGATTACTTGCATTGTAGGAGAGAAACATATCTTTTAAAATTATAATTTTGGGCCGCTGCTTTGTTGAAATTTAAGCTAAGCGTGTGTAATTTCTTGTGAAGAAGCCAGCCTTTGAACAGAAATCTTTCCTTCTTTTTTGTTCTTCCTTTTTTTTTTTTTTTTTTTTTTTTTCTTTTTTTTTTTTTTTTTTTCCTTTCCTCTTATTAAATAACCTTGAAGATTAGGGAAAACAAAATTGTACGGCGAATAACAATCTTTAAAATTAGCACTTTCTTTTGGAATTGGATCGAATATGTAGCACAGACAATGTTACTGATGATAGAGGCCTTTTCTAGATGGATTTCATCACTAATGTTATGGCAAGAAAAAAGACATAGGTGCAGAAGGCAGCTACATACAAAACCCAGAAACATTCTTAATTGTGCATTACTACCAGACTACCAGATAGTTTCTTCCTGTTGTTAAAAGCTATGGCAACATAATGGTGCCATTTTGTCACTTTTTGGGGTGTCTTTCCCTTCCTCTTCTCCTTCCACCACTCTGCCCAGAGACAGGAAAAGTACATCCTGAGCATTGTAATATTCTTTTCAAACCTTGCCATCTTTTTTTTTTTTTTAAATGGCAAAATCATAAATTTGAGTTCAGGACATCAACTTTAGCCCAGACTTACTGTAGTTAAAATAATTACTAGAGGACGAGAAAGTGTGAATTTCTCAATGAAAAGCTTCAATTCATAGCAATTTGGTTTATAAATAGAAATATTAGAACTATTTTATATGAAGTACAATGATGTTATTATAAAGAAGGGAAAAATAAATTCTAGTTGATTTACCTGTCTTGGCAAGATTCTGCTCCTATTGAAGTTGGTAAGAGTTTTCTCCTTGACTTAATGAGGAACAGAATGGAATTGTATTCAGATAAAAGCATTACGACAGAAAAACGTAAAGAAAAGGAAAATGCACCTGCTCTACTTTCAAATTCAAATTTTTTTAAAGCTTTTTATGACTAATATTAGCAAACAGTGGACAATTATGGTTAGATACTTTAATTATGTTGACCCGCACTTTAAAGCTTTTGTTTGTGGTTAAGAAAATAATGGCTTCTCAACAAGAAATTACATCATATTCTTCTATTTGGCCCAAAGGTGGGTTAAACTGTAAGGGAACAGCTGAGATTAAGTGTCAGTGTTGCTAAGCATGGCATTCACAATACTGGCACTATAAAGAAAAAAAAATAAAAATAATTTATTGGACAGTTTTTCTACTGCCATTCAATTTGACGTGAGTGCCTTGAAAACTGATCTTCCTATTTGAGTCTCTTGAGACAAATGCAAAACGTTTTTGTGAAATGAAAAGACTTTTAAAAAAAAAGTAAAACAAGAAAAGTACATTCTTTAGAAAAAAAGAGCCACATTTACTTAAAAAAAATAAATTACTGGTTGAAGATAGTGGACATGAAAATGCCATAAGACCCAATCAAATGAAGATGTATACCCAGCACAACTTCGGACATCCATTAGCTGAATTATTCTCAGCCTTTTTTTTTTTTCAGGACAACGCTGCTTAGGAAATGGAATGGAAATGATTTACTGCTGAATTAAAACTCAAATGACACAAATTACAAGTTGTTATCATTGAATGAAAAAAAAACAATTCAGGAACAACGGCTAATTTTTTTTAAAAGTTAAATTTAGTGCACTCTGTCTTAAAATACGTTTACAGTATTGAATACATACAAGGGTAAAAAAGAAATTGTGTGTATGTGTGTTTGAGCAATCTTTTTTTTTTCAAAGTTTGCTTAATAGGTTATTAAAAAAAATGCCATAATGGCCATGTGTATATTGTTTTCTTTTGGTGACGGGGTTTTAGTATATATTATATATATTAAAATTTCTTGATTACTGTAAAAGTGGACCAGTATTTGTAATAATGGAGAATGCCTGGGCATTTTACAAAACCAGAAAGAAAAAAAAAAACCTTTTCTTTTTTCCTTGAAAATGTTGCAGTAAAATTTAAATGGTGGGTCTATAAATTTGTTCTTGTCACTGTAACTGTAAAGTCTTGAGTTTTAGTAAATTTTTTTCTGCCTTGGGTGTTGAATTTTTATTTCAAAAAATGTATAGAATCTTGTATTTGGGGATTAAAAGGTGATTGCTACACCATGTAGAAAAAGTATGTAGAAAAAAGTGCTTAATATTGTTATTGCTTTGCAGAAAAAAAAAATCACGTTTCTGACCTGTACCTATTTTTCTCTTTTTTTCTCCCCTTCCCCCCTTCTCTTCCCCTTCTGGAATGGATATTGATATTGGTTGATTCATATGATGTAGGCACTTGCTGTATTTTTACTGAAGCTTGTAATTTTTTAACTGTACGCTTGTCCTTTTAAAGGGATTTAATGTACCTTTTTGTTAGTGAATTTGGAAATAAAAATAAAAACAAACAAACAGGCTGCCATAATATATTTTTTTAATTTGGCAGGATAAAATATTGCAAAAATAAAAAAAAATTTGTATGTGAAGTCCTTATTGTACAGGAAAAAAGGGGGTTGTTAGACGACCTCTGAGTAAAAGAAACAAAACAAAATAATTAAGTGCTTCTTTATTTTTATTTTTTTGTTGTTGTTGTTCACAAATAATTTTAGTTGTATATATATATATTTTTTTTTTTTTGTCAGAAATGGCCTACAAAAAAGTGCTGTTCCCACAGGGCTCTAAATAACTTCAAAGTTGCCTGGACCCCTTGCATCAAGGTTTTACCAGGTATGGTTGAACCAGGCTGGATGGTTATTACCTATTTGTGTGAAATGAAATTCTGTTCCTGTAAAGGTGTCTGGGGTGACATCCCACAGCTTCCCCATAGATTTGAGAGAGAGAGAGGAGTTTTTTTTTTTTTTTTCTCCCCCTTCCAAACAAGAAGATGTCCAACACATCACATCTTCTCTCTCCTGGCCACCTCCACTGACTTCTGCCTGCACCCTGCCACTGCCCTCTGAAAGAAAGTTGTTTTATAGCAAAAAGTGAGAGCTGTTGCATCCACTTTGACATCAAATGGTAAAATGGTCTGCTGTTGGTACAGCTGTAACCGGATTGAAGTAAAATTGGTCCAGGCACAGCCCTCCTCTTCCCTGTTAGAACAGGACCTACTCCGTGTACAGGTCTTGCCAGTCCATGTTATTAGCTGCTTTGCTGCTGTTCACTCCTAATTGTACATTCCATAAATTTCTGAATGTTTGAGGGACTGGGATGAAATCCTGTGCCTTTTGATTTCTCTCTTCTCTGCTGTTCTTTCTCTCTCTCTCTCTCTCACGCTCTCTCCCTTTTGGGTCGAGGGGAAGACAAGTGGCAGAAGAGGCACTGATGCTCTAGTGAAGGGGAGAAGGAGAAAAAGCTCACCGCTCTTGCAGGAAATGACGGTAAAACTTAAAACAAAAACAACAAAATTGCCATGCCAAATTCTGCTGCTGCTTTCATCGGTGCAGAACTCTTGGAGCAATTGGAGAGCTGTGGGTGTGACAGCAGGGAGAATTTGGTCCAGCTACCTAACAGAGATATATGTCTTCCTGGCTTGAATAATGTACCCTTAAGACTTCTGGACAAATTCTGGATCTCAATTAAACTGATATAAATCAGGAATTATTCACAGTTTTTAGTCCTGGATTACTCCAGCATAGCTGAGGCTGGAATTTGGTCCCTTGAAGGCACATTTTCACTTTTTGGTGAAAATTCAAATCTCTAGCTTTTGTATAAATCCAGAGTCATGTTACAGAACTCAGCAGAATCCCTTGGACATGCATCAGTGTAACGAAGATTAGAAGTTAACCGCATATTTTCAGTCCACAGTTTGTTGATTTAAGAAAGAATTTCACTTTTTATTTTAGTGTAAGTTACTT